CAGTTTCCTCTACTCTTCTTGACAGGGTTCAAAGTCATCTGTTTCACTCTCCTCATAGGTGCCTCCTGTTTTTTTTTTCATACATGTCAGAATCACCTCAAATGATTTTCTATCATTTTTTTTTCAATAGGTGCCACCCACATTTTCACGTATTCGTTCATTGTGAATTTTGTCTTTACATGTATATCGACACATCCATCTTAACATTTTCATTTTTGCTACTCTAACTTTATATTCTTGCTATCTTGTCAAAGCCTAATATTCACTATCATATAAAATTGTTGGTCTTATAGCAGTTCGATAAAACTTTTCTTTAAACTTATCAGGTACCTTACGATCACAAATAACTTCTTTAGCCTTTTTCCAATTAAACCACTTCGCTTGTGTCCTATGTGTAATATCTCCATCAATGTCTCCATTTTGTTGAATAATCTTTCCTAAATATCTAAACTTTTTCATTTGAGGTATAGTTTGATCATCTAATTTCACTTCTAAATTACTACTCATTGACCTCTTATCAAAATTACTATGTAAATATTTTGTTTTACTCTTACTCAAGCAGAAACCTTTTGACTCCAATGTCTTTCTCCATAATTTAAGTTTATAATTTATCTCTTCTCTTGTGTTTGCAATAAGAACTATATCATTCGTAAAAAGCATGCATTTAGGAATTTTCTTTTAAATATGCTTAGTCAAAACATTTAACACTAGATCAAACAAATAAGGATTTAAAGATGATTCTTGATGCAATCCAATCTTTATTAGAAAATCTTGTTTAACCACCAAGCGTTCTTATACTAGTTGTTGCCCCCTCATACATATCTTGTATAGCTCAAATATAGGCAATCTGACACCTTTTTTTTTCCAAAGCCTTTTAAGGTATTTCTTTCGGTACACGATCATAAGCTCTTTCTAAATCAATGAGAATCATATGTAAATCTTTGCTTTTACATCGATATTTTTTCATTAATCCCTTAGTAGATAAATTGCTTTTGCAGTTGCTCCCCTTAGCATAAAGCCAAACTGATTCTCTGAAATCTCGGTTTTTAATCTCAATCTATGCTCAATTACTCTTTTCTATAATTTCACAGTATGACTCATAAGTTTAATCCCTCTATAGTTAGTATAATTTTGAATATCTCCTTTATTTTTATAAATAAGAACTAAGGTGATTCTCCTCCAATCATTCGGCATTCTCTTAGATTGTAAGATCTCATTAAATAACTTAGTTAACCACTGCACACCTTTTTTATTCAAACATTTTCACATTTCAATATGGATACAATCAAGTTCATTGGCTCTATCATTTGCCATTTTTTTAAGGGCTTTCTCACTTCTCAAATTCATATTCTTCGATAAAAAAACAAATTTTGTTTTCTTTCAGAAGTTATTAAATCTTCCAAGTTAATTGATGACCTCCCATTATCATTGAAAAGCTTAGAAAAGTATGTCTTTCATTTGTCTTTAATATCATTATCTATAACCAAAACATTTTTTTCTTCATCTTTTATACACCTTACTTGTTTCAAATTTCTTGATTTTCTTTTTTAATCTTAGCAGCAGCAACAACAAGAAGAAGCTTTAATCCACTAAGTGGGGTCGGCTACATGGATTGCAAGACGCCATTGTGCTCTATCATTTATTAAGCTTTTAGGAATATTATTAATTAAGAGATCGCGTTCAACAACTTTCAAGAATGTTCTCTTAGGCCTTCCTCTACCCTTAATCTGGTTTAAAGTTATATGCTCCACTCTTCTCATTGGTGCCTCCTATGGGCTTCTTTGTTCATGCCCATATCATTTCAACCGATTTTCCACCATTTTTTCCTCAATAGGTGCTATCCTTAACTTTTCGCGTACATACTCATTTCGAATTTTATCTTTACGTGTATGTCCGCACATCCATCGTAACATTCTCATCTCTGCTACTTCAACTTTATGCTCTTGCTATCCCGTTAGAGCCCAACATTCACTACTATATAACATGGCCGATCTGATAGTAGTACAATCAAACTCTCCTTTAAGTTTATTAGGCACCTTATGGTCGCAAATAACTCCTTTAGCTTTTTTCCAATTAAACCACCCAACTTGAATCCTATGTGGAAATATCCTCACTGACTTCGCTATCATTTTGAATAATGGCTCTCAAATATCTAAACTTTTTCGTTCGAGGTATAATTTGATCTTCGAATTTTACTTCCAAATTACTGTCGACTAGTTTCTTACCAAATTTACAATATAAATGTTCCGTCTTACTCCTACTCAGACGGAACCTTTTGACTCCAATGTCCTCCTCCATAACTCAAGTTTGCAATTAACCTCTTCTCTTGTCTCTGTTATAAAGACTATATCATCTGCGAAAAGCATACATTTGGGAATTTTCCCTTGAACATGTTCCGTCAAAACATTTAGGATCAAGATAAACAAATAAGGACTTGAAAATGATCTTTGATGTAGTCCAATCTTTATAGAAAGATCTTTTGTTTGACCACTAGGCATTCTTATACTGGTTTTTACCCCCTCATGCATATTCTTTAATATAAGCAATCATATTCTTTTTTTTTTTCAAGGCTTTCCAAAGCACTTCTCTTAGTATACGGTCATAAGCTTTTTTCAAATAAATAAAAATCATGTGTAAATCTTTATCTTTACAACGATACTTTTCCATTAATCCCTTAGTAGATAAATCGCCTCTGTAGTCGATCTACCTGGCATAAAACCAAACTGATTCTCAGAAAATTTTCGTTACTCTTAGCAATCGTATAAAATTTTCGTTATCAATCCTTTGTCGCAACACCATTATAAAATTCTTCAAATGCTTTGGAACTAGTTTTATTTAGGGGTGAGCATCGGTCGGTTCGGTCCCAAAATATGTAGAATCGATCGATCGAATAATACTGAAAATGAAAACCAAATCGAACCGAACAAGGACCGAACCTAAATTTGATAATTCGGTTCGGTTGGTTAATTCGTTTTTCGGTTTTATATTTAGCTATTAAATTGGGCCCATTTTTTAAATATTAAAACAAACAACACTACAAAATTGGACCTTTTTTTCTATTCATTTTTTTAAATATGAGCCCATTCTAATTACACTCATATGACATAAAGTCTAAATATTATAAAGGCATGAATAATCAAATAAACAGCCATAAATAAACACCGATGATCAAATAATGGCCCCATAATCCAGTCACAACACTTATTGATGAGAGTGACTGATTGAAATGGGGTTTCAAGTGTTGTTATTATTTTTTATTCTTTATTAAAATAAAAAATAAAAATAAAAATAAAATAATTCATAAATTAAATATAATTTATAAAATAATAAATTATATGTAATTCGGTCGGTTTGGTCTATTCAATTTTAAATTTTACTAACCGAATCGAACCGATAACCGAAATATTTAAAATAAAAAAACCGAATTGAACCGAAAAATCAAATAGACCGAATCAAATAGAAAAATTCGATTCGATTCAGTTTGATTTTCAGTTTCGGTTCGGTTTTGTTCACCCTTAGTTTCATTCATGGCTTTCTTAGTTTTCTTTTTAGCCATGCGATGCTTTTTCCAATTTTTATCATTATTGCACAAATGAATGGTTTTGAAACACTTCTTATACTTGATTTTTTCCTGTACACTATCATTTTACTACCAAGACTCCTTATCTTTCGGACCAAAACCTCTTGATTCTTCCAAAACTTTTTTTGCAACCTTCCTTACCTTCACAACCAAGTCTTCCCACAAGGTATTAGCACTTACTTGACACTACCAAATTCTTTCGACAAGAGATTTCTCTTGAAAATTTCTCTTTTCACCTTTTAATTGTTACCACCTAATCTTGGAGTTATTACTTGTTGATGTTTTTGGTTTTTACTCATAATACATGCATCAAAGATAAGGACCTTGTGTTGTGTCGTAATAGCATCCCTAGGAATCACCTTACAGTTTTTACAAAGTCTTTTATGAGTGATGAGATGCTCATCTCTCTTCTTGAAATAGGCATTAGCAATCTTGAAATCACACGCCAAAGAGAAATTCAGGATATGTTGTCCTTCATTATTTAGTTCCCCAAAATCCAAACCACCATACACCCTCGTATAATGACTTGCCTCCCTCTCGACATGTCCATTAAAGTCTCTTCTAATGAAGATCTTTTCATTATGTGGTATGCTTTCAATCAACCCATCCAAGTCTTCCCAAAATAATTTTTTAAGACTGGCTTTTGTCCTAACTTGAGGTGCATAAGCGCTAACAATATTGATAGTCTCCTGTCCGATGGTCAATTTTAAGGAAATAGTTCCATTTCCAATTCTGTTAACTTCTACCACGTTCTTCTTCCACTCCTTATCGACAATGATACCCATCCCATTGCATGTGTTTACTTTTTCAGTATACCAGAGTTTGAAACCTTGGATATCCTTAGCTTGTTCACCTGCCCATTTAGTCTCCTGTAGGCACAAGATATTAATCTTTTTTTGAATCATAACTCCTACCACCTTTATAGATTTATCAGTCAATGTCTCAACATTTCAATTACCAAGTCTGATCTTGCTCACGTGGACTAACTTCTTTAGCCGCGCTCGTTTAGAATCACGTGGTAATGCTTGCTCATTTAACACTCCATCCGGGCATCGATGTAGTGGCCCTAACTCACTTATCACTGCACTCGAGTCATACAGCGCGTTACTTATGGGCAACGACCTAGCATTAGCACGAAAATGTCTATTGTCTATATCCATGTGTGATTCAATAAAAGTTTAATCTATGTCTATATCCATGTGTGATTCAATAAAGTTTTATGTTGGCTGTGAGGGCCTAACACAACCCTCCTCTTTTATCCGGGCTTAAGACCGGCTATAAAACATAGGTGGAGTTAAAGATTCTATTCTACATTGCTTTTAAATTTCTAAAAAAATCTTGTAGCTTTTGTGGTTAATATTGGTTGTCCTAATTTTACTTTGCATAGACTATGAAATTGACTCCTTCCTACTGTATCCAGCAAGTGGGGAGATCTCTCTTTTGTCTTGGATTGCTGATTCGTTATGGCAGTTGTCTGCTATCAAGCTCGGGTAATAAAAATATTGATGTCCGAAAGAGTCTCAGCTTGTTTACAAGGTACCTTTCCGTGGAGGATTTCGTTGTCAAGGTTCGGTCATTGCAGGTAAGAGTTTTCACATGATCATTCTTGTTTTGATGGGCTGAGTTGAATGTTAAAATTTGTTGGTGTTTTATTGTTACTTTTGTAGGCATTGGGTTTTGTTCTGATTGCAAGGCCTGAATATATGTTGGAAAAGGATATTGGAAAGATACTGGAGGGAACATTTTCTTCTGTAGTTGATACTCGTCTTAAGGTAATGATTTTCACCCTGATATATATATATATATATATATAATATCTGGTGCTTCTTGGTGCGGATGCTAAGTTATTCTGGCTATCAGATTCAAGCATTGCAAAACATGTTTGAGTATCTTCTAGATGCTGAGGGCCAGATGGGAACAGATAATGCCAGTCATAATGTGTCTAATTTATCAGTTGGAGCTGGGCAAAGTGTTCCTGTTGCTGCTGGTGCTGGGGATACAAACATATGTGGGGGTATAATTCAGTTGTATTGGGACAATATTTTAGGCAGATGTTTGGATTTCAATGAACAAGTTCGACAATCTGCTCTGAAGGTCAGAACCCATCTTCTATATTGGTAGATTTTATGCTTCTAAGAATAGCTAATAAGTAAAAGTTTCTGACTCTCCAACTTATTAACAGTCGTTATGGAATAAATTTTTGGTTTGTTCCAACATTCTTTTCTTTTTATTTATTGTGTTTGGATGTTTGGATTGGTGGGTTGAGTGCAGTGGCGTGTCAGTTTATGAAAGGTGCTTTGAAAACGTTATGTGAAGGTGAATCTCACTGGTGCTGGCTTTCATTCTTTTGAATATGGAATTAATTCTGTGATTTTCAGTTATGTCATGTACTGCATCATAGTCATGACGATGATCATCAATACACAATTTTCTTGGAAAACCTAATGTGGAGTTAAACTAGTTTAGATTTTAGCTTCTTTGATTGAATGCCAGGAATTATGGATTTGTTGACAATGCAGATTGTTGAAGTTGTGCTGCGTCAAGGGCTTGTTCATCCTATCACCTGCGTTCCTTACCTTATAGCACTTGAAACAGATCCACAGGAATCTAATGCGAAATTGGCTCACCATCTTCTGATGAATATGAATGAGAAGTAATTTCATAATATATAGTTTCTTATGATGTATTACGTATTACATTGGCTGTATTGGCTAAACTAAAGCATCTTTTCAGGTACCCTGCATTCTTTGAAAGCCGATTGGGGGATGGGCTTCAAATGTCATTTATTTTTATGCAATCCATTTGTGTTAGTCCTGAAAATAGTAACCATAAGGTCCAATCTATGATTCCTATTTCTGGGAAGGGGAAATCTGAGACTGACTCGCTTACTCAAGCAAGACTTGGGGTTTCCCGAATATACAAGCTTATCCGAGGAAACCGGATATCAAGGAACAAGTTTATGTCCTCAATTGTCCGAAAGTTTGATAATCCAACCTGGAGCAAATCAGTAATTGCCTTTTTAACGTGAGTACTTTGTGATAGCTGTTTTTAAGTTTTTGTTGGCAAGTTCTTGTGTAACTTTATGTCTTTCTTTTCAGATACTGCACGGAGGTCCTTGGATTACTGCCATTCACCTCGCCTGATGAACCTCTTTATTTAATCTATGCTATTAACCGAATAGTTCAAGTGAGGATGGGCCCACTTGAAGCAAACTTTAAAGCATGGAATTCAAGGTTTTCACGAAGAGACTGCCAGAGTACAACTTATGGGAATGGAATTTGTCAACTGGGGCCAAATGAACCAACTCTTACAACCCAAGTGATGCCAGTGGACTTGAATGGAGCATTTTATCACAACATGGATGATCAACCTAGTTCCAATGGCATGAGATCTGTGGATTTAAATGGAACAATTCAACAACAGCCATGTGATGCTTCATCAAATAACGGTAGCTTGGAGCTGCATGAAGATTTCTCAAGTTTCTGTGGCATCTCAGACGATGATATGGAGAAAATTCAGGTAACTTGGAAACTGTAATTAATTTTTATTGATGATGTTAGTGTTTGTGACGAATAATGTGATGTTTATCTGTTTGTGAGCGCTGTCTGAACGATGTTAGGGCTGCAGGCTGAGCATTATTTGTTTTTCTGATGCTTATGCAGGCTGACTGTTTGTCGGGGATTGCATTGCAGCTTCTTTTGAAGCTAAAGAGACATCTAAAAATCATGTATAGCCTTAACGACGCACGATGTCAGGTAGGATAGTAGAAATACATTTCAGTCACCTAACAAGTGTTTTGGTTTTTTTGGTACTGGTGCTAATGTGATCCTCGTCAGGCCTATAATCCTGCTGAACCCCCAAAACCAGAAGTTCTCTCCAGACAGAATATTGCCTTTAATATCAATGAATGTCATTTCAGTCTGCCTGCAACTCCGCAAGAATTGCTGCAAAGATACCAGGTATTGTAGCTTTAAATGAAGTCCACTTTTGTTTAGCTTTTAGCAGGACCGTCAGCTTGCTGAGATTTTAAACCCTGTTTCGCACCAGGAATTTAAGAATGCATTGAAGGAAGACACTGTTGATTACTCGCTTTACACTGCAAATATTAAAAGGAAGCGCCCTACGCCCAGAAAAGTTCGGAAATCTGGTTATATGACTGGTGCAGGTGGAGATGACGATGAGGAGGATGATGATGAGGATTGGACTGGGGGGATACGTAAGTTAAATAGTAGTGGCCGCAAGGTTAACCTTAGAAGCAGTAGGCAGTATTGATAGCTGTAAGTACATGATAGGAGGTAGGCTAACCTGTACATTAAATAGAAATTAAAAAAAAAATAGATATAGGATAGGTTGAGAGCCAAGAGAATAGAAATCAGTAGACACAATGTAGGAAAGCAGGGGGCTCTGTAATATTCCTCATCTTCAATAGATGATCGCGTCATTCTTGGTGGTCTCCATTCTGTAATTTGCTTAAAGGTGGTTGGTTGCATTCTTTTGTTGATCAAAATACGTTTTTGGGTCTCCATCTCTTTCTAATCTTATTTTCTCGGAACCTTTCAAGGTTCTATTTAACGATCTTAGTTTTTCTGAAAGTTCCGTAATGCACGGGGTTTGTTGCAGAATCTTCCCCAATAATTCATTAGAAGTATAAAAACCTGCTGCTGTAGGTTGTGCGTGTAATAAAAAATTTGGTTCGAATAAGAATGTTGCTAGCACAAAACGGATGTTTGGTCAAATGGCTGGAATTCCAAATGAAGAAAAATAAGTTATAAATGTTTTTTTAAAAAAATAAGTCATCTTAATTAATTGGGTATTTTGCATCACTAATTTATGAAGACTTCCAAATATCTTTTGGATGAACTGTTTCAAATGAGAAATTATTTAAAAATGGTAAGTTAAAAGCAAGTTAATGCAAGGCTTAGTTAAAATAGGTAAGCGACAGTCTAAAAACCCGGTTTTCCTGCCATTAAAACTTAGCTCGTGAAATGGTTGAGGGATGATGACTGTTAAGTTATAAAAGATTGAATCAAGGGAGAATAACAGTTTCGTCTCAAAACATTTAACTAAGGATAAGTCTCCCAACAATTTTTGTTTTTGTTTGAAAGTTGAAGATATCAATTTAAATAATGATAAACTTAAGGGTTTTAATTATAAATAAATATTCAAGTATTAAATATATTCCCTCTGAATATAGGAGAAATTGTTGTTATTTTATAATTTTTTTATATAAAAATTACATATTTTGATAAACATTTATTATAATTTTTTTAAATTCGCACTCATAAAGTAAATCACTTTCATTTACGAGACAATGAATGCATCTTTAGTTTGATTAACAAGGATATTTTAGTTTAACTTTTTATTTTTAAATACAATTATTATAGTTAATTAATTTTTTAAATTATGTGATACAATTATTTTTTATATATATAGAAATAGAGGGAATAACTCTTAGGTTGTAACAGAAATTTTTATTTTTAACTATTTAAATTTATATTTACAACTCATTTTTTAAAATTTTTTATCAGAGATCTAATTGTCATTGCTTCAATTTTTTGGGACCTAATTATCATATTTTTGAATTAATGGTAATTAGATTTTTGATAATTTTTTTAAAAATGAGTTAAAAATATCAATTTAAACAATTCTAAATTTAAAAGTTTTGAATTATAGATAAGACATTTAAGTTTTACACAAATTCTCATATTATAATTGAGATTTCTATTTGTAATGGTATGAATTTTGCAACTTCTTTTTTAGAAAATTTTATTGAGAACTTAATTACCATTAATTTAATATTTTGAGGCTTAGTTGTCATTTTTTCAGTTAACAAACCTAAAGTACAGCTACCCCTATTACACTGAGTTTAGTTTTCAATTTGACAAAAAGTTTAAAATTAGTCCATTTGCTTAAAAGTTAATTATCAAAAGTCAACTTGGTAAAAATTAATTACTATCGTAATGAATTTATGCTTGGAACAATTTGATAAAATTTCGTTTGATAATCTAGAAGTTATTTAGATAATACAGAATGAATAGTACTTTTAAATATATTCTTATTAAAAATGTCATTGTATAAAAAAAAGGACACAAGTTTTGTAACGTGTAACTTTTGTTATATAAAACTTGATTTGTTGAAAAAGAAAAAGAGATTTAGTTATTTTTAATAATTTTTCTTATATTTACGAGATTAGCAATTGCGATTTATGTCACAGAGCTAAGGTAACATTAATCAGAGCGAAGGCAACAGCTAGTAATGGAATAATGAGACCTGTCACTTTCGTGCAGCGAAAAATAGTCTCACTCTCACATTCTCACTCCTGGTCCTGGTCGTTTGAAAAAGCCTGCTCCTGTTTAGTAAGATTTGTGGATCATTATCACAAACGAGAGTATTTACGATTCATTAACGTCTTCCGAACACTTTATTTGGGCGGGGGAAATTTGAACTCCGAAGTTGGGATGTCTCGCCATAAACAATGTCCACTATAGGGTCGCTTCTGATGAAAGAAGGTTATACAAGAATATTGGAACAGATAAATGCACCAGACATTAATACTAGTTCAAAACTGTTTAGAACTGCAAGTTCTACTCATATTAATATCAGTGTGTTCTTTTATGCCACCAACGTCTCTAGATATATGTTTTTTCTTTGTGAAGAATCATTACAAAAATTTCTAAAACTGAAGCTAACAGAATCGCAAGATAAGTTTCGGAAGGCCGGTGGTCATGGAGAAATATCCTGAGAAATCCACGTCGTCATCCAACAAAGAGAAGCCCCTTTTCAGTACTCACGGCGCAATTACAAAAAGTGGCTGCATGGGAAACAAGTGTTTTGAGTTAGAGAAACGTAGCATGACTTTAATTTAACTTTTATTGATTGGGAGAAGAAAGAGTACCATGTCTACACTGACTGATTTACCATCCTCCGCAAGTATCTCAGTTATTGTTCCCGATTGATCAGCCTGGAGAGCAACAAAAGTGAATCAAGTGATTAAATCATTTTATGTTTTGAATAAATAACAAGAGCTGGCTTTCCTTAGGTGAGATATTGACTAAACAGTAATAGGAAGTTTACATGGTAGGGTAGAGTACAAGAGGATAGATAAAGAAGATAGAGTAATCACGAAACCATTAATATAGTGAAAGAGACAAGAGTTTGTGTGTACTTCAATTTCATTCATCAGTTTCATAGCCTCAATAATGCAAACGACCTGGCCTTTCTGCACTTTATCTCCCACCTAAAGCAGCAAGAAAACAATAAAATTATTCTATATTTCAGTGCAATAAACAAAATGCAGAAATGAGTAAATATCCAGCATTATGATTACCGACACACTGACAGAGAAACAAGGGCACCATTTATATCATCCATTATCTGATATATACCTTGACAAATGGTGGTTCACCAGGTGCAGGACTCCGATAAAATGTTCCAGCCATTGGACATTTGAGTGGTGGAATAGATGACGATGGGCTTGCTTTTCCAGGGGTGGGTGAGGGAGGTGCTGGTTTTGAAGATGGTAAGTTTGCAGGAGCAGAACCAGCTGCTGGAGCTGGTAGTGGCAGAGAAGGGACCACAGGGTAGGCCACTTGCGGTGACACGGGGGCCAGAATTGGTGCTGGTGGGGGCTGCACAGCTTCCTTTTTCCTTATCAAGAGTTCACAGTCTAACTGCTTAAGTTGAAGTTCCACAATATCTCTGGAATCGACAAGTCTGACCATGCAAAATATGTCAAACTAAATTTGAAGATAATGTAAGTTTTAACATATATTAGGAGGAAAATGGAGCATGAATGATCTCACGCAAAGTGATGCTGCTAAGTCTTACTTCACAAGATCTGATACTTGAGCCATGAACGCTGTGACTGAAGATGCATCTGCAATAGCACTTGGACCCAAGGGTTTCTCATTAGGCTCGTCTTCCTCTTTTGATGAACCAACTCCAGATCCAGAGGCACGCACAGGTGCAGAATTTGAAGGAGTTTCCGCTGTAGTAGCCTATGATGTACAAATCAGGATAATTTATGTTAATAAAATTCATTATCATCATTGCCCAGGTGCCGTGCAGAAGGTTCATGTACAAAGCAGAAATTAAGATAATTTTCATGCAACGTAAACTAACTGCAAACTGACCTCATTAAGTTTTGCAAGTAACTTCCATCCTGAAAATAGCTTTCTGTTTAGGCACTGCAGAAGACAATAATAGCATGAAATAACTGATAACAGAAGAAATAGCTGAAAAATGCAGAGTCTACGGATTACTTTTGTCACTCATAAGTAGATAATCAGATACTGTCCTCAAGAAAAAAAAATATTTTCAGAGCTAAAACTATCATTCAATGACCTGAATGCTTATCAGTTGCAGCTGAGTTCCAGATCCATTAAATGCATTGAACATAAGGCATAAACCAATTTGTAGTATAAAGATGCGCAGGTCAATGCTGAAAACTGCGCATCAAAGTATAAAAATATTGACACGCACTTTCAGTCCATAACAGGTCCTGATTTCAGTATAAATTCAATACCAAGCTTCGTGATATCCATGTAAAGCATATTTTTGCAGACATCGTCTTAACAAGAATACTGATCACCTAGAGCGGACTTTTAGCCTATTAGCATACTTTGGTTCTAGTTTTATGCAGTGAGAATCCATTTTACGTTCACACACAGCCACAAGATCTTTCATTACAATTAAAAGGTACACACACAAACACACAAGATCTTTCATCACAATTAAAAGGCGTGCGCGCGCACTAGATCTTTCATTACAATTAGAAGGTCAATTGACTGCTCCCTTGGAAATATATGGCTAAAACTGAAGGGTTGTATAACGTCTTACGAACTCTCCAGGTTCCAAACGAAGCATCATAAGTCGTGGTGACATACTGTATTTCCTGAAGGTTACTTGTAAAATGTGAGATATTTAAAGAAGGAAAAAAAATAAGAAGAGCCAAGGATAAGAGTTTTTCCTTTTTAAGGAATACAAAACCAGATGAATCAATAACCGTATGCTCAAAAAAGAGAGCGAGCATCCAAATTTCCAAAAGTTCCATAAAATTTGCATTCTAGTTCCTTCCATGAAGTATCTTCAAGATTAATTCGCATCAATAGATAAACTCAAATCAACAATTCCTAACAACAGCCTAAGTCATATTCGATGCAATTACGTACCTGAAACCCAGACGAAGCTGGACCAGCGAGCGAAGATCCAGATGACTGACCAAGAATTAAGCCCAATCCATTGTGAATGGGCAGCTTCTGAGAGTGCCGCTGAAGATTCAGTGAGTTGAAGCTCAGAGGAGCAGGAGAAGGGCACTTGGGGCAAGGAACAGCGAAGGAAGCCATGGGAAGTAAACCTAGAAACCGAATGCAGAATTTGCTTCGACTGTGCTCCGCTGGGTTAGTTATAACAAACTAATGGAGAGAATGGGGATGTAGGCAGGTGGGCATATAAAGAGGGAGGCGATAAGATCTATGACGGTATGAGAAATCAGAGAAGGCTAAAAGGAAGCGGAATGGAATGGATGGAGACTACAAAGGCACGGGACTCTGCTTCACACTAAGCCCTCGATGATTACAATGCAACCATCAACGTCATCACAGTTTTAACGGATTTGGGACTCACGACTTCTCCATTTCTCGGGAGGTTTTTCCCTCTCACCGGCGATACAGTTAGTGGGTATACCAACTCGACGGCTCCTGCTCACCCACACAATTAATATCGCCACGTTTTGTAGCAATTTTTTTTTTCCAACTGGATTTTGACCAGTCTTTGCTAAAAAAAAAAACAAAAAGGTAGATTTTGACCAGTCAGAAATTTTTTTCAGGCAAATTAATTGCTAAAAGGATCTTGAAAGTTTTGAAGAATAAGGTATTTCTGTGGCATTATTGCAGTGTCCTTAAAAGATCAAAATGCCTCTGGCAAACCAGATTTAAAAATCAAAAAGGAAAAAGAGGTTGCACTTCACAATAAATTACATGCATTCCTAAAGGAATTCAACATATGCACATAGATTATTGCATCATAAGGAGATATATTGCATATGCATGGTGAATTTTTTATTTGTGGAAGATGATTACAATTTTTGCATATACAAAAAGATTAGTTGCATATGCTTGATGTTATATGCACCTGTAACAAAATTGACATTTAAGAAATATATATTGTAATATCCTCAAAATTTAAAATTGATTGATTAAGTATGGTAAAAGTAATTAAAGTTTATTAATAAGGTGTGTGGCCAGAGAGATTTAACGGGTGTGTTTGGTTGTAAATTCAACCTTAAATGCAGGTTCGAAATGAAGTCAAGGTCACGCATTGAGGAAGAAAATCTAAAAAAGGAGATTCTGTGTCACACATTACGGCTTGTGGTTTGTTTGCTGTGGCGCACCTGTGTGAAACAACCAAGACAAGCCTTTCTATGTCATGAGCCACGACGCATGGCCATTTTTCTACAAAAATAAGAATGCGAAAATGATGCAAAAGAAGAGAGAAACGAAAGAGCAATTGAAGAGCTCTGCTATGGCTTGGAAGATTTGAAGTATTTTAAAGCTTTTAAACAATAGAGATAAATTTTTCAAGCCTAAATCTACCTTTCTCTTCTATGTTCTTTAGTTGAAAAGTTAGAGTTTGATTGAGAATGATAATTTTCGATTCATAGAGACTATATATCCAAATCCATTGACTTAAATATAGTTAATGGGAGTTGAATGAGCCATTTAAACCTAGCATTTATGGCTTTATGTATTTTTGGTTGTTGGAGGTCATAAATGAATGAAAATTCCATCATAAATATGGTAGTTGGGGCAATGTGGCTCTATTAATGGTTATGTAAGAGTTCAATAAAATTAATGTAAGTTAAGAGAAGCTAAGAAACCCTATAGGTACTTTTACATGAGAAGAGATGAATCTTGGGAGTAAAGAAATGGTTGAGTTAATAAGAAAAACTATCCAAAAAGGGATATTGATGAAGCATAGTGTGATTTATTATAGAGTGATTACATTGGCACCATTCAAGCTTCGTGAAAGCATTAGGAGTGATTATTTGAGGGGTGAAACATTTTACATCTCAAAAGTTTGAGGTAATTGAGAAAATTCTCTCTTGTGCTTTTGTGTGTTAATCAATTTATTTATTGATATTTGATAATTTAAATATGTGAAATTAAATAAACTGCAAGCATGGCATAATTATTTGAAAATCCACTATGATCGTCTTATAATATTCAATGATATGTTTCTTTTAGAGTTCAATGATATGATTTGTTAATGAAGTTCAATGATTTTATGTTAAGTGGAGTTCAATGATTTAATATGTGAAAAGTGCAATGAAATAGTGTTCATGAAGTCATATGTTGTGATGTCTGAAAAGTTCAACAAATGTGTGTATTATGAGGAGTTCAATGATTATGGGATATATAGAGTTCAATAACTATTTATGAATGGAGTTCAATGATTGTGTGTTTTGGATAGTTCAATGACTATGCATAATATGGAGTTTTATGATTAATTGTGATTATGTGTAATGAGAGTACAATGAGATGATTGAGCATACTATGAGCTATTGTATGTTTATACATTGCATGATCTTAAGAGGTGAGAGTTCGCCTAGGAAGAAGAGTAGAGAATTAAATCCATATGGTAAGGCTTCCATTAGAGCTTGATGGTTAGCCTGAATTTATTATTTATATTGTCCTACTTGTTCAATGAGGGATTGTCTTACTAGTTCAATGAGAGACTCAAACCTAGTTAATTATCTACTTATTTGATGAGGAAGTTAGTCTAGGGAGAATGACACCTTATAGTGTGAAAAATGGGAGAAATCGTGACCCATTAATAAGTTAGAAAACCTTAGCCAGGAAACCTCTCACATGTGTTTTGGCTAAGGTAGTCTCAGTTTATATATGATCCTAATATGTTATAACCCATGATTTCGTGTCAAAGGAATAAGAAGGATATAAAGAAGGTGTGATTATATATATAGTGATAAAAAGGGCACATGATTGTCTATATTATGATTTTAGTGAAACAAATCTTGTGATGAGTCCTTTTTTTTCTATATGAACATTGTGTCACTAAATCATGACTCCATGAGCATGTATTATTATGAATGAGACTGATGAATTATGCTCTTGAATGTTTCATGATTTGAAATTACATAATAACTTGCCACTTGCATTGGAATTGATTGATATGCATTAATATGAGTTAGATGGACTTTGGTTACTAAGTGGTTGTACTCAACCCACTATCTTCAATATTACAAGAACTAGCTTAAGGGGACAAGATAGGGGAAAAATAGTTAGAGGCATATGATTGTCATCCTATTAGTAGGCCTCCTTTACTTTTTGAGTATTTATGCGTATATTTCACATGACATTGCTAACTGGAGATAATTCAATTTTGATTTATTTGGATTACATGTTTTGTTAAATTATATAGTGTATTTTGGGCTTTAAGGTGTATGTGTATTGATTGTGAGACCTAGAGTAGGGTCAAAATACTAGTGCAAGTAAGAATTGTGTTTGATATGTGAATTATGTTGATTATATGATGAAATATGAGATTAGAATTCCTCCTTCTATTTTTGAGATTAAGAGATTGAGTAACGAAAATGTGTTTTATAAATATTGTGAGTGATGTGGCGTATTGCAGAGGTCCGTTTTAGTTTATTGATTGTGGTCTAGGTGGTATTTGTGGCTTTGGCTTTTGGTATGAGTTTTGGGCACTCAAGTTTTGTGTAAATGGTGGAAAATAAAAAATTTTGTAATGAGTGTCTAACATTTTATTGAGAGATAATTTGATTGTAAAATCAAAGTCAATATTAGAGCTCGAAGAAAGCTCTCTGTAGACATCTAAATCATGTTAATCAAATGTCGGATAGAGAAATGGGGCATATCAAAAGTTGCTCTAGGTGCTGTCAAATGACAACAAAATTTTGCTATCATGAAGCATGTAATGTGCCGTAGCGCATTGTGTTTGAGCCACGACATATGGCATAGACACTCACGAGCTGCGACACATGTCTCTGTTTTTGCACAAATTCACTATTTTCTATCTTTACACAAATGTAATGATTCTTTTAGTGATCCAATTCTTCCACATAATTATCAAACTTTAATTTTTAGTTTAGAAATATGATTTGGGATGTTTTTAAGTATTAAAAACTTGGAATCCTATTTTTATAACCCATTTGTGAAATTTGACAAACTTGTCACTTATCTTAAGATAAACTCTTAATTAATTGAGATTTGGAGTTAATTGGGGAATAGTGAGGGAGATTTTACATACATTGCATATATCAATTGATCAGTTCCATATATTGAAGACTTTTGTATATAAGGAGAGCCTACTACATTAGAGGAAGGTATGTTGCATATGTGAGGTCAGTTTCTCGATTGTAGGAGATGGTTGCATTCCGATAGGCAAATAAATTTATGGTGGAGTCTTTTTGAACAATTTTTTCATTTTTTATCTGTGCATTGGTACTTTAAAAATTTGTGTAAAATATTTTAGAGTATTTATAAATATTTTTTATTATTTAAAGGGTAAGCATAAAATAAAAAAATTATTTTTATATAAATGTAATATGTTACTTTATGTAAACTTAAACTTAAATAAAAATTGTGTTATCCAAATATATTAAAAATATAAATTATAATTTATTTTATTTTAAAATATGTTGCTCTCATAATGGATTTAAAAAGGCAACAACTACATTTGTGCTTTCCTTCAAGTGATGTGAGGTGTGCAACATCTTGAATTCAAAGTTCTAGAATTAAGTGTTAATAGAAGGGAATTATTAAATTGATGTGAGATTAAAGTTTTGGATGATGGAATATTATTTTGAAATCTTAAGATGTTACATGAGTAGATTAAAGTAGGAGGACGCCATTAAGAAGCAGAGTGTATGAGCGCGGTGAGGAGTTTCCTTATCATGTCACGCACTGTTAGTGCTGAGTGCGTCACAGTGCATGGCATAGAGTATTGATAGATAAGGAAATGGGAGCTTGTGGAAAGCAAGGGAAAAACAAGGAAAAGAAGCACGAGAGAGTGATAAGAGAGGGACCTCTACTAGGGCAACTAATTATGGGAGCCTAGGAGATATTTTTGACCTGTTACTCATCAAGTAAGTCTTATGACGCCTTAACCTCCAATTCTACATTAATTTTTCTTCATTTAAATTAGTGAGAGAATTGAATCTAAAAGTTTTAAGGGGTTGATTTCTTACTCTATAGTAATAAAAGGTTTTTTGGAATTATATTTAATTTTGTGACTGGTTTAAGCTTGAATGATAAAACTTTAAAGTTATAGACTCAAATTAACCTAATTTAGAAAGAGAAAATAGATGATAATTGAGGATAAGTGTGTGAATGCTTGCAATAAGTAGTGTTTGGGTATAAGATGTGTGAATGGACTTAAATGGGAGATATGATAGCATTTAGGTATTTCATTATTGTAATTGGGACAGTCTATGATCTAGGACTTCCCTAGCCTAAACACGTGTGAGGGGTTACCCGACCACAGTTTTTCCAACTCACTTATAGAACATGATTTTCCTCATTTCTTACATAATGGGGTATTATTTTCCCTAAACTAATTTCCTTGTTGAATCGGTAGATAGCTAGTTAGGTTTGAGTTCTTTATTGAACTAGTAGGACAGTTCCTCATTAAATAATGGGATAATAGGTATATAAACAATC